CATGTTAGTGTGATAAGTTATGTGAACTGGTATAAATAGTGTATGTGATTACACAAGTCATATGATATAAACATGTGATATAATTTATGTGATTACATGCAAAGTGATATGAACTATGTGTCAAATGGATATGAAATAAGCTAGGTGATAAGGACATAGAGAATGAAATGAATACGTGGCAATGAGATATGTGACATGTGAATCACATGGAAATGATTTATGTATAAGTTTATATGTTATTTTATGTGCTATGTGATGTATATATGAACATATGTGAATAAGATATGACATACGTGTTTATATGAACCCATGAGAAATGATATAAGTTATATGATATGATCTACGTGAATACATGCACCTGTAATACATGTGATATGATATGAGATATATGGTTACACATACATGTGGTATGTGACAGAAGAGAAATAACAAGTGATATGAAATGTATAAATGATAATGTCCATGTTATATGATATGAGAGCTAGTGATATAGTTGGCATGCCAAGAGTCGAGGGTTACCTATGTTCTACGGAACATATGGATAGTTTACCTATGTTCTTCGGAACATATAGTCAGTTACATAGGTCCTTCGGGACAAATTTCATATGCCCCTAGTGGGACTCATACGAGCTGTGGTGACAACATATGTGCACAACCTCAATGTACTCACATACCTTAAGTTCTCACAGGTGTACATGGGCTAATAAAGAGTTTAAACAAATATATACTGAATGTGATATGTATATGTGATTTGTTATATGAAATAAATTACAGGATTCATGTATTAGTGTATTGTTTGGTTAATGCATGATATATGTATACGTGTGTATTGGTTATATGAAAGGATATATGTTTTTAGTTTTATGAACTGTATTACATGAATTATATAATGCTATGTGTATTTCTTTATGAAATTATATATGATGAGTATAAATGATAAGTATATAATTATACGATAAAAGATATCAATGATAATAATATGATAATGATAAGGAAGAAGATAGTCATATATGCACATGTGCAGACTTAATATATGAATGGAAATATGTTGGTGTATGATATGATAGTAGTAATTGTTCATGCATGATTATAAGTTAGAGTTTTATTATATGTTTTATATGCCTCACTAAGTCAACGACTTAGCGTGTTATTGTTTTACATGTATGTTCCGAGAAGAGGAAGATTAATAAAAGTATGCAAGACAGGTCAGTTTCTCATTTCGAAAGATTAGATCATAAATTAAATGAATAGTTTGTATTTTGTAATATTGATTCGGGTTGGCATGTAAATAAATATTTGAATACGATATGCTTTGATCAAGTTTTGTAATATTTTAAACGTATTTTTGTAAATTAAAATTTTATAGTAATGAAAGTTTAAGTTTTTATGAGTTTATACATGTTTTGACGAAGTTATTGTAGCAGTTCAGGGGTATCGATACCCCTGAAGCTATCTAGAAAAATTTTAACATTTAATATTGTTCATGATACTGTTCATGATACTGTTCATACCGTATAATATTGTTCATAAAAACGTATATTTTCTTAAATTGATTATAACGAACACAATTCAATAATATATTATCATATTTCTTAATATAAGTCCAAACGATCTGTATTTTGTTAATAATATTGTTTTAAAAAGTCAATGTGACATCTCAGACTCGTATCCGGGTCGGGTACGAGTTGGGGTGTTACAGGTTCGATTAATGTTAAAGAAAAAAATAGGTTAATTTGGTTCGGTTAATAATTTTCAAATAAATTTCGGTTCGATTAACGGTCAAATAATTTCGGTTCAATTAATGTTAAAGAAAACAATTCGGTTAATGTGGTTCGGTTAATAAGTTTCAAATAAATTTCAGTTCGATTAACGGACAAATAATTTCGGTTCGATTAATGTTAAAGAAACAAATTCGATTAATTTGGTTCGATTAATAATTTTCAAATAAATTTAGGTTCAGTTAACGGTCAAATAATTTCGGCTCGATTAATGTTAAAGAAAAAAATTCGGTTAATTTGGTTCGGTTATTAATTTTCAAATAAATTTTGGTTCGATTAACGGTTAAGGAAAAAATAATTTAATTTATTCGGTTAATTCGGTTAACAATTTTCAAATAAATTTTGATTCGATTAATGGTCAAATAATTTTAGTTCGGTTAATGGTTAAAGAAAAAAATCGGTTGATTTGGTTTGATTAATAATTTTCAAATAAATTTCGGTTCGATTAACGGTTAAAGAAAAATAATTTATTTTATTCGGTTAATTTAGTTAATAATTTTCAAATAAATATGGGTTCGATTAACGGTCAAATAATTTCGGTTCTATTAATGGTTAAAGAAAAAAATTGGTTAATAATTTTCAAATAAATTTCGGTTCGATTAACGGTAAAATAATTTCGGTTCGATTAATGTTAAAGAAAAAAATTTGGTTAATTTGGTTCGGTTAATAATTTTCAAATAAATTTCGGTTCGATTAATGTTAAAGAAAAAAATTCGGTTAATGTGGTTCGGTTAATAATTTTTAAATAAATTTCGGTTCGATTAACGGTCAAATAATTTCAGTTCGATTAATGTTAAAGAAAAAAAATCGGTTAATTTGGTTCGGTTAATAATTTTCAAATAAATTCCGGTTCGATTAACGGTTAAAGAAAATAATTTATTTAAACAAATAATTTGTTTAATTTTTTTTATCATTAACAAATCTTTACAAGTCAAATATAAATTGTTGTAAGTTAGAATCATTAGGGAGCTTTGGCCTAATGGTTTAGGCGCTTGATTACTCTCCCTCCACTGACACAGGTTTGATTCTCCCTCAACACATATTTGTTCTTCAATTTTCCATTTCAATCGGGGGTGGTGACACGTGTCACCATCTGATTGGTTAAAAAATTAGTTAATTAAATAATTTAAAATTCATAAATAAAATATTCCAATCATGTATTGACATTTGTCATGTTCTAATTGGATAGTTAAATTTATTTAATTGAATTAAAATAGTGACTAAATTGATAGAATATGTAAATATTAAGGACCAAATATATAATTATGCCACTTTTATTAACGGACACGTCACAAAGTATGTTAAAATTAACGGTTCGGTGGTCTGATTGAATCAATTAAAAAGTTTGGCGGTCGAATTGAGAAAAAAATAGTTCGGTGGTAAGATTGATTAATGACCATAGTTTAGTGGTCTCCCGTGTAGTTTACCCAAAAAAAATCTAAGAAGAATGATACATCCATGTTGTAGAATGTTGATCTCATATTAACTTCAATTCTTGCCATTGAATTCATAAAGGATAGTATATAGTGGGTAACAGAGTCTAGTGTAATACCAAAAGTTATACTATCACTAACGTCTATTTGTGTCTGCACGTGTAAATAATATATGGGTACCTCTCTACCACTATACAACACAGGTAGCGTAGTTATATGCCCAAACTAGTCCTTATGACTACTTACTACGAAAGTTACTATTATTTGTAATCAATGTCGTTTTTTCCGGTTTGGTATTTAATTTAAGATTAAACGCTGGCCTTTAGGATTTACTTGGGGTTTATATTTTTGATTATGATGGACTTTTTGAAGAAAAGAGTAAGTGTTCGATTAATGGATCATATATAAAGTGCAATTGGCCCAAAGGGGTTTAAACTCGGTTGTCATCGGATTTGATGCTTTGCTTGATGTTTGGTCCAACAAAAAGCTTGGGCCTAATTTTCTCGACCGAAACCAAAACTAATCAAGACACGTCCTTCATTTTCCCTTTCCTTTGCCTATGAGCGTGCTTCAACAGCAGCTGCTAATTCAAACTCTTTTCCTTGTTACATTTTAATTATGGACGGTTGTAAACGGATTGGAAAAGTTAAAGAATTCATTCTTAAGAAAAAATGAAAAAGGAAAGATATGCGGTTGGAGTGTAAGAGAAGGATCCAAATGAATTCCATGGAAAGGTTCGGTTGGTTCCTTACGCAAATGGAAGGCAAAGTTTACCACTTGTACTTCATTTTGAAGTATATTTGATAATTAAAGATGTCATTTTCTGTGTTCTTCTTAAGTCGACAGCTAGTATGTTATGAACAGTACAAGCTCGTGAGCTTTGCTGGATCCTGGTGTGGGGACTCTTTGCAAATTATTGTATTGAGGAGTGAGTCTTAAAAGTGAAAAAAAGAAGAAGGATCAAGGCCTATTCTTGTTGTTTATTGTAAATCCAGAACATGTAAAATAATTGACCAAATCTCTAGCCAATCTAAATAAAAAATACATGGAATATAGGATAAGATGCTGCCAAAATCTAGGTCCAGTCAGCTCCCCTGGAATCTGCAGATCGAGAGTTCCATTCGTTCGTTCTTTACAAAAATGGAGTGTATTACAAGAGGTGGGTCCCGGTTCAGTCCCAAAAAAGTCTTTGTCCTCCCGTGACCCCCGTCTCATTCTCATGCAAACTTACGTAGAGACAAAACACTGAAACAGGCACAGAGACTCACGAGCTTAACAACTCATCCACTTCATATCATGAATACAAGTCAGTATTATTCTCTCTTTAGATCTGAACCGTTAGGCCAGAATATGAAAACTTCTCTTGTATTTGTAGGGTGCTCATATTAGTCACGGGTTGCTTGTTATTGGCTCAATTTAATTTGGTAGGATTGAAGGTTTAGTGTATAAGATAGGAAAGACTCTTACCGGACAAGGACATTGCTTAAAGAACATTGAAAGCTTGTCATTTTGCTTCTCTTTCCCCTGCAAATTGGGGATCTTTTATTAATAATTATCGATTGGGCATAGGGACAGAAATTTTGGGGCCAATTCCCTGCGTTCTTATTGTCCCACTTTCATCCCAACTAGGTTATTTTACTGTTTGTCAGATCCCAGAAATGCTGGCCAACCATTTTCATTGCAAGGCTATTTCAGTCATTCTAATGCAGTAAATTGCATGCATAAAATCCTCTTCGGGTACTCTTTTCTAATGCACCACTCACTAAATATCTCTGTCCTCAACTCCAAGCATGGACTTCACTGCCACGCTCTTGTTCTTTGCTCTTCTCATTTCGTCCACCGAGGCTTTAGACCCATGTGGTTCTCAGCCAGACAACTCGGACCTCTCGGTGATTCCAATCTACGGCAGATGCTCTCCGTTCAACCCACCGAAACCCGAGTCATGGGTCAACACAATCATCGACATGGCCTCAAAAGACCCAGAAAGGGTCAAGTACTTGTCCACCCTTGTTGCCCAAAAGACCACTGCAGTTCCAATTGCTTCCGGTCAACAACTCCTGAGCATTGGCAACTACGTGGTTAAGGTCAAGCTTGGCACCCCGGGTCAGACCATGTTCATGGTGCTCGACACTAGCAATGATGTTGCTTGGGCCCCATGCACCGGCTGCACCGGTTGCACGCCCACCACTTTCTCACCCAATGCTTCTTCGAGCTATGGCTCGTTGGGTTGCTCCTTGCCCAAATGCACCCAGGTCCATGGGCTCTCGTGCCCGGCTACCGGGGCTGCTGCTTGCTCTTTTAACCAATCCTACGGCGGAGATTCTTCTTTCTCTGCCAACTTGGTTCAAGATTCCTTAACATTAGCCAATGATGTTGTCCCGAATTTTGCTTTTGGATGTATTAATACCATCTCTGGTAAATCTGTCCCACCACAAGGGCTATTGGGTTTGGGCCGGGGACCCTTGTCATTACTTTCGCAATCCGGGCCACTCTACTCGAGTGTGTTTTCGTATTGTTTACCCAGTTTCAAGTCCTACTACTTCTCAGGTTCCCTCAAACTCGGGCCCGTGGGTCAGCCCGATAATATTCAGACTACCCCGCTATTGAAAAACCCGCATCGACCCTCACTTTACTATGTTAACCTAACCGGGGTCAGTGTAGGCCAAGTTCAGGTCGCCATCGCTCCGGAATACCTAGCATTCAACCCGAATACCGGGGCGGGGACAATTATCGATTCGGGTACGGTTGTAACCCGATTCGTCCAACCCGTTTACGAGGCAATCCGTAATGAGTTTGTGAAGCAAGTGAAAGGCCCATTTACGATAATAGGAGTATTCGAGACATGCTTTGACGCATCAGCAGAAGTTGAGGCTCCATTAATAACATTACATTTCCAAGGCTTGTCCGTGAAACTGCCAATGGAGAACACCTTCTTACATACTAGTGCAGGGTCACGTGCTTGCTTGGCAATAGCACCGGTTCCAAATAATGTGAACTCCGCCATGAACGTCATAGCCAATTTGCAGCAGCAAAACCATAGGATTCTGTTTGATGTCGCCAATTCTCGCTTGGGAATTGCTCGCGAAGCTTGTAACTAGTTTCATTTACTCTTGCTCTTTGTTTGCCTTCTTCTCGTTTAGGCCAAGTTTCTAGCTTTATGCAACGTGAAAAAAATTGGTTTTGAAGTCCAATAAACAGGACGAAAACCCTTTGTCTTGGTGATTATGTAATAATATCATTAAGATTTCGTCTCCTAGCCCCCTTATTCTTTACGCATTTCAAATTTAATCCTTTTACTTCTAATCATAAGAATTTAGTCTCTACTCTTTTGATTTTATAATTGAAGTCCAATTAGTCTCTGCTTTGGTCATGACATACCCAGCCTTCTTCACATTCTTCATTTACAAATTGGACATCCCAGTCTCAGCCACATTAATATTTAGCACTTCTTTGGATACTGGTAAAAGTCTCAATCTTATACATCTCAAATTCCAGATTCCTTGTAGGGTAAGTTGACACCCCCCCCCCAAAATACTATTTGCCACCAACATTAGTTTTTAATGCAATTAAAAAAAAAAGATCTACATATGCTGATTTATTAAATTCTAGTATATCTATAACTAAAGGCTGGCTTCATTGATTCTGATTCAATAGCTCCATAAACCAAGAAAGCTTAAATTAGAAATCGCATTCGCCAATGCAAAGGACGTAATTGCTACTTGCAATCATTGCTTATTACATCAAGTTATTCAGCTTATTACATCTACGACATGCTAGTTGATATATGCATATGTACATCTTGGATTAAAGTGTTAGCAGCCTCTCATCTTGCTCTTAATATGGGGCATCACCAATAATATCTTCCCCCGCTCTGGTATTACTTTCCTCATGTTCGAAAGCACCGTTATCAGCCTGATCAGCATATCCTACATAGTCTATTAAATAATTCGATTAGCAAGAGACTGACCAATTTCTTGAGTTTAATCTGTAGGATGCCGTTGGCCTTCAGATCATCCCCCGTCTTGAATATGGGTTTTATTGCCTGGATTGAGTTATTGGCCCATGTCTCGTCCTCTGCCTTTTTACGTGGCAGGAGATTCTGCTCCTTTTCCTTTGTATGGATTTTTAACAGATTTGGTAGGAGGTTCTGCCCCTTTGCCTTTGTCTGGATTTTGACAGATTTGGTTGGAGTTTCTGCTCCTTTTCCTTTGTCTGGATTTTTAACAGCTTTGGTTGGAGGTTCTGTTCCTTTGCTTTTTTCTGGATTTTTAACAGTTTTGGAAGGTTCTGTTCCTTTTCCTTTATCCGATGAGCTTGGGGCTGCTTGACTTGAACCACGGCCTTTCTCCATGCCAGCCGCTTCATTTGCAGTCTGGCTTCGGAGTTCCTTCATAAAGTTGTTGAATCCATTTCTCAGTTTTGTAAGAGATAAGTTAAGGAATTGACTCTGAACGACTGTACCAGCTTTTACATAAAAACTGAAAACGATATTGTTTATTACCAACCATGCATCGAAATAAGCATAATTGATGCCAGAAACTTTTGACGCTGGTGGGTTTAAAATTCTAGAAAACTGCATTACAGCTTCATATAATTGGTGTCGCATTAAAAATAATAAAACATACCTCACCCTTCGTAGCTGACTTCTTGGAATTGCTTGAAGTATCGCGCTTGTGTGAAACCGTCTCTGCTGCACCCATAGACTTGCTGTCATGTGTTGACTGATCTAACTTTTGGTTTTCATTCATTTCCTGAAGAGGCAGATTCTTGGCTCAGAGAATTCCATTCAAAACAAATTCCAACATATCCAGGAGAAGTGAATTTAAGATCCGATTCCATTCTTAATCTAGGGAGCTTCATGCCTCCTAAAATGCATGTGAGTTTACCTTGCTTCTTGACTTTGTAGAAGCATCTTCAGCACCCTTTGTCTTATCCTTCCTGTGTTCAGAGAAAAACAAGTATGTAGATTTTTACCAAGTTCATAAAGAGATAAGAATGGGAAGAAAAAGAAAATGTAAACAAACATCTAAAGAGGATTATCTATTTTGAAGCATACATTATTGGCGAGTTAGCAGTTGCCAACTGTATTCAAACTCCAAAAAGTAAACCAAATCAAAGAAATGTTTTGTAACAAGTATCTACAGAATATGCCACTTGGAGAGAACCAACTTAAAGCTTACACTTTTGACTGATGATTTGGTTCACGTTGATTGCATGAATCACTCATGGAAGCAGACTTTTGCTCAGGATGTTGATTAAGATGTTTCCCTAGATCATCAACCTTTTTGTTCGAAATGATTATGTCAGCCTCTGATTGAGTTATGTCCTTGACATCTGCCTTTGTCTTTATTACACCCGAAAGTTAACATTTGATGCAGATAAAGATTAGGGACTCTAATTAAATCTTAGGAAGGCCATAGGCTACCTTTTCATCAAGCTTAGCTGGGACAGATGTGGGTCCTTGAGACGGGTTAAGTCCTACTTCCAGAGCTATCCTCTTTTCTCTTGCACTTTGAAGCTCTTCCTCTAATCTTGCAACCTTTAAGTACAGCCAGGAGCAGCAATCAAAACAGCACCATGCACATAAAATTAGTACAGCATTTGAAAATATAAATCCTTTATAAATCCTTTACCTTTATGCAACTAACAAACGAGTAATTAATGAATGCAAATGAAAATATTAAATTCCATACATTACCAAAACAAAACAAATGTACTTCCAGTAAGTATATAATTGTTCATTCTACTGCTGATATAAATTAGGACTTGTTTTAGTTAAGCCAAGTGAAAGGAATCGCATATTGAAGAAGAAAGAAAGAATGCAAAAACATCTCTCTTACTAAATTTCAAAAATATTTTAGCAGAAGAGGGTGCCTTTAATATATTTGTTTCCTTAGGATCACAATATGCATCTTTGTCACGGCAGATATGCAACCTAACATAATGCACGAAACATAAAACACAGCACACAAGAATAAACAAAGGAAAAAATCTCCTTACAAACATACCTCTTTCTGAAGAGCTAGCCGTTTCTCATGCAATGCCTTCTTTCGTTTTTCCAAGCTGGCTTCAAGAATGGTATTACCTTCAATCTAAATTAGAAGATGACTTTATATGAAAAGTTCAAAAAACATGTTGCAAAAACAATAACTAGAAAGGGTGGGCAAAGCAGAACCTCTTCAGTTAGTCTCCTTTGCAAGTCCCATTTTTCAGCCTCAAGTGATTCAACTGCAAACCTAAAATCAAGTCAAAATCAGGTTAGGTACAACAGAAAATAGAGTTATTATTAACAATGTACAACGGTCAGATCTACACTATTTTTTGCTTTTCCACTTTTGTCTAGAAAAATTAGCCATGCATGAGTTATGCAAAACAGATCATTAGTCTGCAGAGTTATGCAAGTCAAACCAGGAAAATAAGTAGTAGCAGGCAAATTTATAAAAGGTTCTTTTTTTCTACATATCATGGGGAACAACACTTACTCTTCCTCACATGGAAGATCAGGACAATCCACAGATAGTTTCTTGCTTCCCTGTAAAAGCAAACACGATAATCAAATAATTAACATATTGCAATTATAATTTAACTAATCCTTGGAAATACTCATTAGCTAACAGAAAACTAACTAGGCAAAAGCAAAACAGATCACGAATGCAGAAAATGAAAACTTACACTGCTCCTTCCCCAAAAAGCATGCCTAACATGGTGGCCAGGTCCGTTTCCAACAGCAGGCGGTTGTGTGGCACTAGAGACTGGACTACGAGTTGATGCATCCTCCAACTTGGTTACTCCATGAACTCCTTTTGACAGCTCAGCAGACTTATTGATCTCAATTGCTGAACTTTTAGTTCTTCTATTATCCTCACTCTTTTTTGAATTATCATTTACATCAAGTGAACTTGAAACTTTCTTGGTGGCTTTGACATCATCACTATTTTTGGAGGACTCAGAACTAGAGCTCGAAGATTCAGAATCCTGCAATTTTATTTTCAATTCATGTAAGTATAATGTCTCTTTTTGTTACTGATCTATTTCTCCTTCACCTTTTATAAGTTAAACGGAAATAGTACTAAAAATCAGAACGAGGGGCCACAGAAAGTACCATGACAGCGATATGTTACAAACAAAAATAGCAAAGAGAAAAACTCAAGATTCCTACAAGGGGAAAAGATGGAGAACTATACACATCTTACTCTGATATATGGTGCTGCAAAGTTCATATAGTAAGCACAAATTCAAAGGGGAAAGCAAAGACATGGAAACAATCACACAATAGAAACCTTTAGTCGCCAGATGGTGACAATGAAGCAGATACACAAGCTACAAAATCATGAAAAACAAATATTGCACTAAACAGAGGTAAATGTCTAAATAAGATTTTCTGAAGAGAAGGCTTTAATAGTCCAGAAATTTGGATCAAGTTTACTGCCATCATTTTTAAAGTCGATGAACAAGATATAAAACAAAAATGCCGGTGTAGAAAGAAGAGGAACAAACTTTATCATCACCACTTTTAACAGATTGACCACTCTCACTGCCTGTTCCACTTTCAGCAGAATTGTTATCATCATCAGACCCTTGTGATTCGTCCTCACATTCATCATCTTCATAGGACTCATCATCATCAGCTTCTTCCTCACTTTCACTTCCACTCTCGTCTGAGTCAGAGTACAAATCGGGGGAAACACAACCTTCCTGCCAACAAAATGCTGAGCTCATAACTGCAATGCAAAACAAATCCAAACCAAAGTAATAACAAATTGGAATATGGAATGAGAACAGCCAAATTCCACCGTTAGACAGTCATAATCCAATCACTTTAGATCTGTACTACAATAATAGCACATACATCCAGGACGAACAATTTTGACTTAATGATCATGCATCCTCAAAGTGTAGAAAGAAATAAACATATCAATTCTGCACTAAAGAAAAGGCCTTACAACTCATAGATTTATGCATATATACTTGCATGTATAGCGACCACAGAAAGCCATATTAGAAGCAGTTGTGCAATGATGGCAATAATTGCAGCTCACCCCAAATATTTTATCATACTGTTCCAGTAATGTTATAACAATGGCTTGAGCATGATTGGCTGCAGCAGCAGCTTGCAGCAGTTGCATTGAACCATCACCTCCCACATCAAATCATTTTCAATATCACATTCACCAGATAGAAGAGGACGAAGAAGTAAGGGTGCCATGCAGGCTGCCAGCTGAAGAGCTCATTCGATTTCATTTTGTGAGAAG